CAACAATTCGGAAAGCCACGGAGACCTTGACAAATTAAACTTTACAACTGGACCGAAAATTATATCCTCAAATATAAGCAACACGATAGTCAATGTAATAGAAATATACAGTGTAAGTGTTACAATTAAAAACTATTGCTGTTGTGCATTAACATATTATCTATCAGCAAATTATTAAAAAAATATTATTAAAAAAATTAACAAATTATTTAGGAACTACAATAGTCTCATTCGTGATTCTTGAAATTATTTAAATTACTACATATGATGTAACAAGATTTTTCGATATCCTTATTTAAGAGAAAATTGTCGAGATTCTCTTAGGCACAGTTTAGTCATTGAAAAGCTTATTAATAGTTATTAACTTACATTAATTCACGACAGCAATATAATTTTCACTTGTTACTCTTACAAATTCAGCACATACACACACGCGCGCGCGCACATTCACATACTTTCTCTCTCTCTCTCTCTCTCTCTCTCTCTCTCTCTCTCTACAATACTAAAAGGAAAATAACACAAATGAGAGGTTACAGATTTCAGATTGCTTCTAGTACGCGGGTGCTCTCTAAAAAGAGATAAGTTTTTGCTTAACATAAATTTTCAGGAATCTGTTCTTAAGGACTGGAAATTATATAAATATAGTCGGTCTACAGAGATGGCAAGAAGAACTCCGTTTATTTCCATACAATTTTCTCCTCCGGATCCTCAATTACGCTCCACCTTTTAACCTTTTAAGGCAACATTGAATTCCGAGTGGTTTTAAACTCGCCGACTGACTTGGAATTCCTTAAATTCAATTCCTGGATGAACCGCGTAACGCCGAACAGAAATTCAAGGCATTGGAATTGCCACAGAATGCCCTATAACATCGTTCATTCTCATTTTTGGTCTCTTGTTTTCCCATCATTCGGGACATAGATCTGGTTTGACGATATCGTCAGCGAATATCGCCTCTTTGGCGATTTATCGCGGTCGCCTCTTTTCTTTATTATTTTCATGAACACATTTTGTCCATTCAATATATCAGGGAAATATTTATAAGAGGCTCCCTCGTGGCATTATAAAGTGTAGGAGAGTATTAACACTTCATCTACCGGCTTTCATATTACAAATTACAGTACATTCTCTTTAATTGACACTTAGATTATGCACAACAATGGAGAATTTGGGAAGAGGATATACGATTATTCGAGCCTTGTGGCTCGTTTTTATAGTTGTTGACGATCGGAAACTATAAAACGAAGCCGCAAGGCTCAAATAATTGTATCTCTTTTTCCAAAATTATCCATTTTTGTGCATAATCTGAGCGTCAATTAGGGAGAATTTACTGTATTTGAGTTAATATAATGTAACAGCTTCCTTTAAGATAATTATATAAAATATAATTATATCGAGCTCTTCTTAGGTTAGTAGTTCAGTCACGAAAAAGGCTGTGCGTAGGCTTCTGGTAAATGAAATGTCAATTTAAAGTTTGATCAATTTATTAACACGTTCAGTGCCATATCGGTCATACAGGATGAACAAGCTAACTTGATCACTCGGAATTGAAAGTTTTACTCGTTTGAATGAACGAACGCCAAAGAGACGCAATGTTTGGTTGAAAGGTGCAAATATTAGGATAATCAGAAAATTTGATTTGAAATTCATCGATTTATAAATTTTGTTGCAGTCGAGGTCACGCAAAGGTCACTGTGTAATAGGACATATAGAATAGGTCTTGACCTTAGTTATCATGTCAAAATGATGAAAATATATATTCTCCCGTTAAAAAGAACTATTTATTATAGATTACAGATCTGTATGCAAATCCCAATTTTCGTAGCTCGTTTTATGAAAATCAGAGTACGACAAAAATTTCCTTCGTCTTGCTAAAAGATTCTTCACTGTAAACAGATGATAAAAATGCTAATAGTTCGTAGTATCTATCCATAAATGCGTAAAGATCTGCAGTCTAATTTACCCTTTAAAACAAAAACTGTTTCCCTTTACCTTTTCTGTCTAACTTCTTAAAACAAGCAAAACATTTAAAATGATCAATTCATTGCAACTGGTCCAATCTTTAAAGAGTTACTCCTTTTTAAAAGGTGACCGAATATTGTAACGAGTAATTGTACATACAATTTGTACACTATTTGTTGAAAAATAAGATACTTTCAAAATAACAGGTTTATATCCCGAAAACCGCCATTACGAAAAGGACATTAGAAAGCATCGTATCCTTTTATTTTCTCTCTGATCAAATGTCAATCCACTTTTCCGTGCACCCGTACCCGAATGATATACCAAACTAGTACAGAGAAACATAGTTATCATTATATATATGTTACCGTGAATGACCGAAATTGGAGAATGTCGACTTTCACCGGTGAATGTCAACAGATGCCAAATACGTCGGTGAAAGATCGAATATTTCATTACATTGTTGTACATTCGGACCCTCTCCGGTGTGTGTCGACAATCACAGATATGCTCTGGTGGAGGTCCAAAACCTGTCATTGCAAAAGGAAGTGTTCCACAAATAAATGCAGTTGTAAAAGCAAGGGACTCTTGTGCAATTCAAAGTGTCATAATAGTTTAAGTTGTTGCAATAAATAAGATTTGAATC